ATCGCTTAGAGCCAACTGAAGGGAAGAAGAAATAGCTTAACTAGCCCTGTACATATTAGTACATGGAGCTAGGGCCAGGTTTGGCCAAAATGGAGATAATTGCCCTGTGTTAAGGACAGTCATCCAGGTAGTCCTCCACATCTCTCCACAGTGACTAATGCTTTCTGTCTCTAGAATCCTCCTACCTTCATAACATCAGGCATGGGGAACACAGGTGGATTCTTAGTGTCTCAGTAGCATAGCTGCCTGCTACTCTCAACCTTTAAAAATACATATATCTTAAAATAACATTCCTTGGTCACATGACTTCAGCACTTTTTTCTGACTTCTATTATTAGTACACATTGATTAGCACATAATGATCACATTCACTAGAGAATTGTTACATGTACATAATACATTTCAGTTTTTTCCCCTTGTCTTTACCCCCCTACTTTTATTTAACACATTATAAAGTTAATTAACATATATACAGATTGAAAAACAGGCTAATAGGCCAAAGAACATATAAACCATGTGAGGCAGTTGTACTAAGTCAAGGTACACTGGACTTCAGCATTTCTTGAAGCTTGTATCTTTTCCCGTTATAAATATGCTGTCTTTTTCCTGTTTAATTATTTAGCCTTGAATTCTACTTTGTGGATGCTTTTTTGTTTGGTTAGCCCAAGGCTAGTGTATTCTTTTTTTATCCTTCACTTTTCATCTTTTCTGTCCTTTAGCTAACAAATGGATTTAGTATTTAGTATCTACTTTTAATAGGTGAATTTAACCCACTTGCATTTATTGTGTTTAGTAGTAGATTTATTTCTTCCAGATTATTTAATGTTTCCGTTTTCTGCTGGGGTTTTTTTGTTTTCTCAGGTTTATTCTTGCCCTTTGTTGAATTGATCCCATTTTGTTCTCTTCTTGCTCTCCTTATTGATTAGGAAGTTCAGTGTTTTGTTGCTTCTTCAAATGGTTGTGGTACAAAAGTGCGTATACACTCAGGACTTTCTGTCAGTATCAGGTTGTAATCAAGATCTTTAGTCTCTCCTCAAATAAAGTATATTCAACCCAGGTATTCCCCTTCTGTGTATCTCCCCAGAATGATTGAAAAACATCACACCACAGTGACATATGTGAAACCATAAGGTTCAAAATATACAATAGTCACTGTGAAATGGAAGGAAACTCTTTAATAAAAAGAAGAAACTAAGATAGGAGAAAAGAGAAAGGATAGTAGGGAAAAGAAAAAAAGTGCAAGTTAGTTATACCATTAGTGTTACTTAGTTCACTGAATAGGAAAGGTTGTGCTAATATTGATTGAAGTAATTTTTATGCCCATATTTTGTACTTGAGTGACTAAAGATAATGTTGTGTAATTTATTAACATTTGTTACTTTTTCATTATTTTGTTGTGAAAATTTGTTTTACCTTTTCTTCTTAATATTAATAAATAAAGTAATAAAAAATTTTTTTAAAAATTAAAAATAAATAAATAAATAAAGTATAAACTTCAGTACAGACAGAGTACCGCTTTTCCATTAGCAAGATAGGGGTATCATATTACAACCAGGAATGTTCCAGATCAGAGTTTTTCAGATTTTAGAATATTTACATAGATTTTACTAGTTGAACATCCATAATCCAAAACTCCAAAAATCAAAACATTCCAATATTCGAAACGTTTTCAGTCACGTTGGCATATAAAAAGTTTTAGACTTCAGAGAATTTCAGACTTTAAATTTTTAGATTCTCCAACCCATACTCACTTAACTTTTTCCTGGCCTCTTCCCTCAGACATGGATCCTCATAGATTTTAGTTCTAAGTTGTTACCTATTACCTTTAAATTGTACAACATTTATTTAAACTTAACTCATGTTTTGCTATTCTCTTTGTTTACTACTGTTCCCATAAACCACTTATTTCATGGATTTGTTTTTTACTTTGCTGAAGTACATCCTTCGATAATTCTTTTAGAAAACATGGGTTATATATTTCTAAGACTGTCAGTGTCAAAAATGACCGTTTTCCTTTCCAGAGGGTCCATTTTTACTCTCAACTTCCTATTGAGCTGCTTTTTTTTTTTGGTAATCCAGGCTGGCCTCCAACTTGCAGCAATCCTCCTGCTTCAGCCTCCTGAGTGCTGGGGTTACAGGCATGTGCCACCACGTCTGGCTTTTAAAATTTTAAAATGATCATGTTTGTAAAACTTAGACTTTAGATTGTCTAGTTTTGTTTTAGTTATATGTACCTTCAACATCTTTAACTATATTACTTACAACCCTACCTTAAAGTCTTCTGCTATCGAATGCAGGCCGTCTCATCCACACATCAGCCAGATTGATTCCATTTTCATCTGTCTCACTGATTACAGTTCTGAGTGTGATTTATTGGGGTGGGGGGACTCCAGGAGGCATCTGGTTGAATTATAGTCTTCCTGTTTCTCTGTCACCCCGTTGTGCTCCCCACCTTGCTACGGCTCCTGTCTTCATATATCCAGATGAAAGCACTCTGGGATATCAGCGCCGTAAGGACCAAGGGTCCTGGAGTCTGCTTCTCATTTCCTACTTGACACTGAGGCCCAGGGAGTGAGACAGACGGCCACAGCTGCTCTCATGTCTTGGGTCCGCATCACTTGCCCTTTGAAAGTGTGGAAGAATGGGCAGGGCTGGGCACCAATGTGGCTGTGTGAGCAGCTCGCTCTCGAGGTTTGTCTAACGTACCTGTCTGAGGAGATGTGGAGTCCTGGGTCCTTGGGTAGCTGACCCCATGGCATTCTTTACCATCCACCCGTGGACATTCAACATCCCCACCTCTCACCCCTCTTTTCTTCTCAGACTGACTGAAGTGTTAAATTGAAGTCCCATAGAAGGGTCTGCTGAACTCTGCAGGCCATGTCAAAAATCTGAGCCCACTGACCCATTTGTCCAGTCAGTTCTTCTGGCCAGGACCCAGGAGCGTTCTTAGGGCCATTTCAGAACCTGGCTGGCATCTGGTCACTGCTCCCAGATTCCCCGGGCTTTCGGTTCTCCATTTTGTCTCCCCTGGATTACTACACGTACTTCCTGACTGGATCCCCCACTTCCACGCATGGCTGCTTTCTTTCCAGCAACCAGAATGGGCTTTTCACATTGTCCTCTGGGTTATGCCATTCTTTGCCCAGGTTCCAGTTGCCCATCTTGCTTAGGGTGATGTAAACCTCAGTCAGGGTAGCAGCCTCTGTTGACCTTCCCGTCATTCTCTGGGCTTCTCCTCAGCCCATCGGGCCTGACCTGGGTCACCTGCACCTCTGACCCTTTGCTGTTAGTGTCCCCTCTCTGACTGGAGTGCTCTTCCCTGTGTCACCTGGCTCTCCCTTCTCCATGTCTAGTTGCTGCTCAGTGACCTCCTGAGAGATGCCTACTTTCCCTGTTTAAAATGCTGCCAGCTTCTGCCAGTGACCCGCTGACTGGCCCTGTTCTTCATAGTAGGCATTTACTCAGCCTGAAGTTGAATCAGCCATTCATTTGTCTGTCTCTCTGCTAGATTACAAGTCCTGCAAGAGCAAGGATTCTGCCTTATACCTTGTCTCCACAGGGCCTAGACCCTTCCTGGCACATAGAAGGCACTCGGATGTTAAATGAATGGACAAAATTGCTTAGACTTTGCAATTTACTCACTTAAGTCCACTTTGGGTACTTTTCGGTTCAGGCCCAAATAGGTGACTCACACAGACCAGGTTCCTGCTTCTGGGAGCCAACAGCCTAGTGGCAGAGGTACAGGGGGCAGTTATGTGGCAGCAAGGAGCATGTCTGAGAGGGTTGGTGTAGAGCAGGGAGATTCCTGGGAATCAGCCAGCAAAATACTGCACCGGCATTCGCTGAGACAAGAGGAGCGGGTGGGCAGCAGTGTGGTCAAAGGGAGGAGTCCCAGGCCAACGGTAGAGAGAAGCTCTGAGTGAGGGTGGCAGCTTTCTCACAGCAGGTACAGCTCCAGGGCTCCCAGCCCCGTTCGGAGGGCACTATGCATATTAACTTAAATGGCTGTCCTCATTTTAGGAAATGCAGGCACAGAGAAGGGAGCCTGCCCAGGGTCACATCCCAGAAAGAGTGAACTGGACTCAGCACAGTAGTCTGGCTTCACACTGGCTCTTACTGGTTCCACTGCCTCCAGGGAGAGGGAGCAGTTGGGTCTGGTCAGAGAGTGGTGTGAGTTGAGAAGGTGGAAGGGAGGCCAGATGGGCAGCAGGGGTGTGGAGCATGCCGCAGGGTCAGGCTTCTGCTTGGTGGGGCTGAAGCTGCAGCCCTGCACTGCTGAAGGGTGATCCTGGCTGTGGCTGCTGTCTCTCTGATCTCTGAGGCCAGCAGGGTGAGCACTTTATCCCAGCAGGAGGAAAAGAGCATCAGGGGCCTGGGGATGGCGGTGGTGTGGAGGAAAGGACCTTTGCCTCCTTCCCCTAGATGCCCCTGGTCCCTGCCCCAGTTCTCCTTTCTTGCCTAGGAGCTGAGGGACCCTGAATGCTGAGGGCCAGGCCTTCCCTCTGGCTCACCTAGTGTCTGTCCATACAGGGGCCAGGGCCCCTTCTAGCCACATGACCTCTTCAGGGCTCTCTCAGCCTCCTCTACAAACATGCACTTCCTCAGGGTACAGGGTGGAGGCATTCTTTCCATTTAACAGGAGGAGATGGAGCTCAGAGTTAGTAACTTCCCTAAGAATCCCCAGCTATGAAGGCCTCTGCATGGGTGGGAGCCTATTTCTGGGGACTTAGTGAAAGCTGAGCATGGCCTCAGGGTAGGCTGAGTAAATACCTACTACGAGCATGGCCTCAGGGTTCGCCTGTGACTCAAAATTGAGGCATAGTGAGCACCAGGCCGAAGCTGAGCTGTACACTGAAGGAGCCGAGCCCCACAGGGGCCCTCACATGGCATCCCCAGGGAAATGGCACAGCCACAATGAGGACAGCAGCATCTTGGGGTCTGAAGGCCTCGGAGGCCCCTGCTGGTGCAAGGCAGCCCCTGAGTGGCCTTTCCTTCCCCAGTGCTGGACACGGCTGGGCAGGAGGAGTTCAGTGCCATGCGGGAGCAGTACATGCGTACGGGGGACGGCTTCCTCATCGTCTACTCCGTCACTGACAAAGCCAGCTTTGAGCATGTGGACCGCTTCCACCAGCTCATCCTGCGTGTCAAGGACAGGTGAGAGCGGTGGGCTGGGCCTTCCTACTCCTGGCCCACAGGACCGCTGGTCTACCTCTGCCTCGGAGACCCCAACAGGAAGCTGGGGCGGGGAACCCATAGCCCAATTCTCCAGCCCTGTTGGTTCCTCCCATGCCTCTGTTTCTTCCTTTGGTGGCAGTCTGCTTCCAAGGCTCCAAGGGACCATCTCCTGCCTAACTCCATAAACTGTCCCCTCAGCCAAGCGATGGTAGGTGATATCTTTGTTTTCTAACTCCAACCTAACTAAATTATATTATGTGCAAAACAAAAATGAACTTTCTCCCCATAATAGGTTATTGGCCAAATGATGTTTGTGAGGGCTGTCTTTTCTTGCATTGTATAGAACAGTTAAATAGTTTGGAGCTTGTTTTAATGCAACTCATAATGTTGGTTGGCTGTCAAATAGGAAATGTAAAGAAAATAAAAGGGCAAGCCAACAGGAAAACAGCAATCTTTGAACAGATTCCAGCAAAGACCAAAAAATTCAATTAACATCTACTCCAAAGGAAAAAGGGTTAATAACCTTACCAGTAAAGGGACACACACATACACACACACACACACCCCTTCAATAGAGTAATGTGAACTATACCCCTGAAGAGATGCAAAGATACAAATATATGAAAGAGAGCATAAAATAACCAAGTTGTGGGAAAATATTTAATTTCATTGCTAATCAAAGAAGGGTAAGGAAAGTAATATAATACCATCCTTCACCTATAAAACTGCATTTTAGTGAAAATATCCAGTGCCTACACAGACATCATGAGATGACTTCTCATTCAATTTGGATGCTAATTTGGGCACAGAATCTCAATTTTGGATCCCACTCTTCCTTTGTGGGGCGCCTTGTTTTGCCGCCATTGACCATGTGCTTGTGCTGTACCAGACCCTGCCCTTCATGAATCGTCGCTGAACGCTGCCGGTTTGGCACAGCAGAGGATGGAGTGAGGGGGGTGGGCCTCTGGTCCAAGCCTTTAGCTCTTCACTGTGTCCCGTGGCTCTCCCCTCTCCATGTGTTATGCTGTGTGTTATCTGCATGCGGTAAGTGTGGCTGCACACCATAAGCAGACAAGGGGGTGGATGGCTTCACACAGTTGCTGTTTTTCCTCCCAGGGAATCATTCCCAATGGTCCTCGTGGCCAACAAGGTTGATCTGATGCACCTGAGGAAGATCACGAGGGAGCAAGGAAAAGAAATGGCGACCAAACACAATGTAGGTGTGTGTGTGTGTGTGTGTGTGTGTGTGTGTGTGTGTGTGTAAAGTGTGATGGTGGGATATTTCCAAAACAGAGACAGACATCTTTCCAGTTATTAGGAGCCCCTGAAGGCTGTGGGATGAGCCCTGATCCACCCGGGCTCAGCCCAGACTCTGGAGAGGACACGGCTTCTGTCCACAGCTGAGCCAGCACCTGGCTTTGAGTCTAAGGCGTCAGCTCTCTCGCTGAGCCCTGCCCTGTGCCCTACCCTGCTCTGTGCCGGGCATCACGCCAGAGGAGCACATGTGCATGTTATTTGCCCCTCACAGACACACCAGTGGGAGGAACAGTTATCCCCTTTCACAAGTGATCACACTGGGGTTGCCCCAGGCTACGTTGTGAGCATCAGCAGACATCTTAGTTTTTCTAGTTCATTGTGATCCCCTCTCCCTCTGGTTGATGTTGAATGGGTGTCTACCTCCCCCTACCACACTGGCACAGTCCCTGGCCTCCTGGTTGGTTATATGCAAGGCTTCTCAACCTGCTGGGACGTTTGCTTTCAGGCCGCCCCTGCCCCCTGCCCAGCAGTTCACTCTGCACTCAGAGGAAGGAGCGTGCTATTGTCGATTCTGCAGGTCTCTCCCTTCTGTTTGTCCACTTGTTCATTCATTTCATTGGCCCTGGGAAAAATTAATCCCTACCTCACGGTGACATACAGTAAATAAAGCTAATTAGACTTCATCCAAAGGTGACATGAGCTATGGAAAGAAGCAAATCAGGGAAGGGGAACAGGGATGTGGAGGGCAGGGGGATGCTCTCTGAATGACGTGGGCAGAGGAAGCTTCTGGAAGGGTCTGTTGCAGCCAGAACTTAAGGGAATGAGCCATGCAGATATCTTGGGAGAGATCATTGTTATCAGTGGGAATAATCCATGCAAAGGCCCTGAGTTGGGAGTTTGCAGAGCAGCAAGGAGGCTGAGCACATCAAGCAGGAGGGGTTGAGCAGGAGGAGGTGAGGCCAGAGAGGTGGCTTTAGGCCTTATGGGCTTTCACTAGCATGAGGAGGGAAAACGCTGGAGGGTTCAGAGGAGCAGCCTCATGGTCTGACCACATCTGAGCACCTCTGTGGTGATCAGGTGGGGAACAGTTCACAGGGAGCAAGACTGAGCACATGGAGCACGAAGAGACAGGTAGGGGCTGCTGCAGGGTCCACGTGAGTGGTGCTCGTGAGGGTGGGAGGAAGCAGTGGATTCCAGCTGGCATAAGCACTGTCAGCAGACCAGCGGGCACTGGGTCAGTGAGTGGGGGAGGACAGCAGGAGGAGATGTGTAGGGAGGGACCGGAAGCTGGTTTGGGGTCTCATTCCCTGTTGGTGGCAAATGGAGGAGCCATGACAGAATTCTGACAGCCCAGTCTGGAGGTTAAGATCAGAAATCATCATCTGGTGATGGAATTTTAAGCCATGAAGGGGTGGGGGAAGAAGAGAGCATGGGAGAATGGAGGTGTGGAAGGAGTCCTGGGGTTGAGGACAGGGACGCTTCACTGTTGTGGATGTGGGGAGATCAAGAAGGATCAGCAGGAAGGACTGAGTGGTCAGTGATGTCCGAGGCTCAGAGCGGCTATCTGGGAGCTGAGGGAAGACAATGCCTCCCTCCCACAGCAGGGATGAGTCAAGTAAGGCAGGGCCAATCCAGGAGCTGACCTCAGAGGTTGGGATCAGAAACGGGTGTGGTGGGAATGTGCAGGGCACCTGCTGTCCTGAACAGAGGTGGGTCTGAGGTGCCATTTGCATTTCATTCTTGGGCTCCTTTATCACAGCTGGTCCCTCCTCAGACCTGAGGAGGGTTTGCTAAGTGCTTCTCCTTGGGCGTGCAGAGGGTTTTCCATCTCAGAAGCTCTGGGTGGGTAAGGAACTGCTCTGACAGCAGATCAAAAGGAAAGAGACACAGGAGCCTCTGGGGACTCATGGCTGGCAAGTGCTACCTCCTCACCAGGGCAAAGGTCTCTAATCACTCTACCTGATACTGTTCTCTCCACATAAAATGCTGCCACCTCATTTGTTGTTTGACCAAGTGATCTGGCATGCTGCTATCAGTGACATCTAGCTATTGCTCATGAGGCGTTCCAACATACATTCCTCTTCAGCGATCCAACATACGTCCTCCCGCCTAATGCAGAAGATGATATTTCCTGGTCCTTTGGTGGAGTTTAGTGGTGCTATTTAGAGTTTCCCTTAGGTGAGGTCCTGTTGCTTATAAACTGCAGAAGTTCCAAGATAGTGCACATCAGTTTTTCTTCACTAGTGGAAGCAGAAACCCCAGAAAAAAAGGTAGACGGTGTCTGGGTACCTGGGCAATAACACAGCTCATCTCCTTCTGAGCCATGGGGTGGAAACACAGGCAGCAGTAGCCTGAGACTGCTGGAAGCAGAGCTTACCGAGCTGGCAGGAGTACAGGACACAGATGGCTCCATGCAGGTTGCAGGTACACTATAGGTGCTTTCCTACTGGTCCCTGGTGTGCACAGGGTGGCACATTGTCTTGATCCACACAGATACCTACTGCTCTAGGCACGGTCCCCAGCTGGAAGAGGCCCCAGAGCTGAGCTCCACAACCCTGGCTGTCCGTGGGAAGCCAGGCTGGGCACTGGAACTTGTACCTGTTTAAGACACTAGACACAGAGGCCCTGCTGGTGTGTCGCAGAGCTCTGGCTCCCCACTGCAGAACAGGGATGTGCTCTCACCTTGCAGGTTAACATGAGGCTGCAGCTAGGCAGGGTGGCTGAGGCCCAAGCAGCCAAGTAGCCCACAGTGGCACAGCCTGCAGCCCCAGGCATTTCCCTCTCAGGGTTATTGGAACCTCAAATGCTGGTCCACTGAAGATGTCAAAGGCCGGAGCTGTGCCCTTTGTGTCTGTCAGCTCCATCAGCCCCGGGCTTGAAGCCACACCAGTGTGAACAATCTGACTTACTTCCCCCAGGGATCACTGACTATACGTGCTGGACAGTGCTTTCTAGTACTGTACACACCTCTAAAATGACAACTTGGTCACCCTTCTCCAGTGCAGCCAAAGAGTCAGGATGGGATGTGGCCTGGGGGGTCACGTCAACCACAGTGCCCACATGAACTCCCCCCCCCCCCGACCATGCAGTGATTCCTCAGCATTATTCTTGTATAAACCTGGCTGGGCTCCCAGCTCACATACAGGCCAAGCCAAAGCTGACCCTGGCATGCGCATCATGGGTGGGGCTGGCATAGACTGGACAGGGTCACCCCAGGTCAGAATGCTCACAGTCCAGCCTCTCTAAACCTTTCCCTGTGTGTCTACTCCAGAGGGGGCAGAAAGAGGATAAGAAAAATGGACCTCGGCAAGAAAAATGAATCAAAGTGTATCTCAGTAACAATCTTTAGTCTCTGGATATATAAAAAGATCATTTTATTCTATTTTTAGGTAGCTGTTAAATATCTCTGTGACTAGAGGACAAGAGAGAATTTGAAAAACCCATTAGTAAAACTTTCCAATCTTAAAGAGCAGAAAGAAGCCACCAAAGGAGGTTTGAGGTTCCTGGGGGCCAGGGGCTGTGAAACCATGTAGGTTCCTCAGAGTATCTAGAGCTCATGGCCGTGGGGGTGGAACAGGGCTTCGTGGAGCTCGGTGCCACTCTGACAGAGCTGAGCTTTGCCTTCCAGATTCCTTACATAGAAACCAGTGCCAAGGACCCGCCTCTCAACGTGGACAAGGCCTTCCACGACCTCGTTAGAGTCATCAGGTGAGCACTGCACCCTCCTGGCACAGGGCTCCACAGAGTGGCTCAGCCAGGCTGCGGCTGGAGGGCTGCAGGGGTGCAGCTGTCATCCTGAGCTGGTCAAGTCCTCTTTCACCATTTATTACACTTCCTTCCATTTCTTTCCCCTGCACTTTCCATCTCCTTGCAGCTACCCTAGCCATGTGTGGGTTTGTGGGTGAGGTTGCTGGGCCCCTAAGTGGAGACACCCCTCCGGATAAATAGACATGATTTCTGCCCAGGGCAGCGCCAGAGGGGCACAAGGTGGTGGAAAACTTGCCCACCTCAGGATTTTCCTCTTGTGAAGCTTTCGGTGCTTGTAACATGGAAAGAGTAGGCCCCTCTCCTCCTCTCTGCCCTGTGCTCAGAGCACTCTAGGGTGTTTCCCTGAAGCACCAACACTGACCCCAGAGCCAGGCATCAGCAGCTCTGACGAAGAGCCCTGGCAGAGTCACGGGTCAGACTCTGCCCACCTCATATTCTGGTGATGGAAACAGCCTCCCTGCCACCCTTTTTATCCTATTCCCCAGCTTTTCAGCACATGAGCCGCAGAACCCATGGTTCTCAAATGCTATGCCTTGAGCACACTATCCCTGTGCCAGTGACAAACCCAGGACTTGAACAGTGTTTTCCCCTTTGCCATCTCAGTCCCCCCACACATGTGCTCCACACCTCATTTGCTCATTATTCTTCAGTGTCACGGAAATATTGCAGCCTCCACCGTGGTTGTGCTGGTATTCTGCATGCTCGAAATGATTTGCTTCTGGGCCTTTGCCTGCATTAGGATTCATTCCCATATGCGAATGTCTTGGTTACGGACCTGTAGTTCCAAGGTCAGGTTTTGATATAGGAAAAGTTAACAAGAACAATGTAAAAAGAAGCTTTTGCACCTGGTCTGTCATTTTACTTAAACTATGAAACACAAAAACAGAGGCCAACACTCTGATGAGTTTATGATTTAGTAAATACAGACACAGCCTCAGAAATTCCCATCAGTAGGGTGATTTAGATTTCCCCTCCTCTCCCTCTGCAGGGTTGCCCTCTTGAGGTGCTGTCCTTCCAGGCCTTCCTGCAGTGGCTAGGAGAGTAGATTCCCTAGGCTCCCACTCTGGTCCCCTCTACCTGCCACCCAGATTAAGGGGGACGGGGTGGAGGAACAGCAAAGCCCAATCTAACTTTGTCTTTCTGCTCTTCGTTGTTTAAAAGGCAACAGATTCCAGAAAAAAGCCAAAAGAAGAAGAAGAAAACCAAATGGCGAGGAGACCGTGCCACTGGCACCCACAAACTCCAGTGTGCGATACTGTGACAGCCGAGGCCCCAGCACAGCGATCACGACCAGCCCTTGGAACTCTCCACTGCCTAACTACACTGAAAACCATTTCTAACCACGACCCTTGGCCAGAGGACTTGGCACAGGAAAGGGGAGAGGGAGGGAGAGCAGGGAGCAGACAGGGTCTGGCTTTGTGGGAGGGCACTGGCTTTTCCGTATCTCCTAAGAGAGACAAGGAAGCCACCTGTACACAGAAGCAGCATCAGGCTCCTCAAGTGTTGATTCACTCCAGTTCCCCCTCTTGGTGGCTGTGTTGTTTCTTCTAACTACATAGTGTTGGTTTGATGTGGAAGTGCTAACCCACGTTCAGAGCACCAAACAAGCCATGAGCAAGCTTCCTCCCCGTGACCCATTCTACAGTGTCTGGGTTCAGATGTCTTTTGTAGACTTTTAAATTATTTTAGTGATGATTATTTTATTAAAGGGCTCTGTGCCTACTGCCTGGTGAAGTCCCAGCTCTTCGGCAGACCTCTCTGATGACATGTCTGAAATCGTGCTGTTGTCTTTTTGACTGAGTTTTTCCAGCAGTGCCAAACTCAACCCAATACTAGAAGTAGAGAGACTGAGAGAACAGAAGTTAGTGGGGACTGTAGGTGGAGGCTTTGGGCCGTGGGTCAGATGTGGGAGAGAAACAGGCCCTACTCGCGCCTAGAAACCAGAGAGAAGTGCAAGGCGTTGCTATGGTTAAAGATGCAGATATTGGAAAACAGAATTTTAATTTGCTGAAGTGAAAGGCTGGCATGAGTATGTCAGTTCTAAAAGAGGCTTTCATTACCTTCAAGTGTACAAGCTAAAGTAAGTAGATGGGCTTTGCAAAACGTCCACTTATTTCTCAGTGTTCAGTTCTGTCTTCCCAGCTGTGTAAGTTCCTAGTGTCTCAGATCTGTCCTTTCCTGCTTCACCCCTTCACCGGTGCTGCCTGGTGCCCCTCTGATTAAACACGGGACTCATCAGAGGAAGCTAAGGTGGACACTATCCAGAAAGCTTAGTTCATGCTGAATCGTACCCCAAAGGATTCCATCCTGTTATCACTAAAATACCACCAGGACTAAAGCCATTTCTCTGAGTCAGCTGACCTCCACCTCTATGGCCCAGGAAACGAGCAAAGCCTTCCAGTGTTGCAGACTTAGTTGCCTTTTGGCACACACTTTTCTCACTCACTCTCCTGGATCTTTTGGTTTTTTTTCTTTTTTTTTTCTTCCGGTACTGGGGATTGAACTCACGACCACCTGCTTGCAAGGCAGGTGCTTATGCCGCTGAGCTAAATCCCCAGCCCCAAGGTAAGATCCTGACAATAGCAGAGGAAAAAGCAAAGGTGGGCTGGTGATGTTGCTCCCATACCCCTGTTTCTGCAAGGGACAGTCCCCTGCAGCTGCCTGACAATGCACCTCCCTCTCTGGTGCTACCGGTGGAAACAAAGACAATTTTTCCAGCCAGGGTGGGAGCTTGGGGACAGCAGGAGGGTGCACTTGAGAGTCGTAGACAAGGTTGCACGGCTAGGGACCTTGCTTTCCAGATGTGTATCTGTAAATGAACATTCCCAGCAGGTGGCCTGGATCCTGCCTGGAGAAAGAAACTGATGCAGAGAAACCCATGGAAAGTGAGGCTCTGGCAGGATTCCAGGACACGCGGATCCTTCTCCAGTTCAGAGAGTTCTGGGCACCTCACCCTGCAGCATCACCAGTTGGAGGGCCCCACCGAGGAGCTCCAGAAGGAAACTTCGGACTTCTCTTAGTCAAACTTACTATTTGTCAAAATAGCCCTTTTTTCTGTTCCTAAAAGGAAGGAAAAAAGAGAGCATTTCAGATGAGGCACTTCAGATGTTTCCCAGTATCCTGTAATAAATATTAATGGGTATTTTAAACACTAGAAGGATGAGGCTTTTCCCAATCGTTAGGCTCTTCTGAGCCATGCCCAGAGCAGGCACTCATGCAGTTCAGTGGCAGCAGAAGACTGGAAATGAAGGAGGAGGCCAGGCAGGAAATTGTGAGGACTAGGTTTGCTTTGCCCTGCAAAGAAGGCAGCGGCCACTGCCAGAAGGCAAGCAGGCACCGCCCGCCAGCGGCACACCTCTGTCCACTGTGGACACACACGTCTCCTGCCCACGCCAGCAGCACTGCGTGGGGGAAGCCTTGCTGGAAGCAGATCAGCTGACCTAGAATGAAGCCCTGAGCCATAAAGGTAACCAGAAAAGGGTTCCCCCACTCCTGGCCTCCCGCACCCCCTGCCAGAAAATCTGGCCCCATCTACCAGGCCATCTTTCCTGAATTCAGCCCACCACTTAACTCCACAGTGCCTGACGGAGAGACTGTGTAAGCGTGGGTCTTCTGCAGCCTCTGACTGGGGCTGATGGTAAACTTTCATCCTCTGTGACTTCCCGTTCCTCATAGATAAAATGGGTAGATAATACCTCATTTTTAGAAATGGATTCATGTCACAGAGGAAGCATCCAGACAGGTTGGAGTAGTGTACCCGATGTCCATCACCTGGCAGGGTCAGTCTGGGAAACCTGGTTGGCCACGCTACTCCCTGACTGGAGAGTCCACTGAGACTTGTGGCTGTGTTGTCATCCACATTCCCTTCCCATCCCCTGAGCGCACTGTTCCTGAAATCCCCTCGCCCCACGCCATTTGCCATTGTGAGCACCCAGATCCACTCCCACTGTTCTCACACCCTCCGTAAAGGGCTCCTTTTCTCTTCAGAGGTAATCCTAGCCATCCTGAGCTCCACAACTGGGGCTGTCGCCACCACCCATGCCCTGTGCCACACAGAGGACACCTGGACATTTTCTCTGAGGACTTTGCCCACCACCTCATGGTGCCTGCTGTGGAGAGTATGTGGCCTGGTGTGGCCTGTCTCATTTAGCCAGGAGATGTGGCCCACTCACACCTGGGACCCCTTCCTCCAGAGCCCCCTGAGAGGTGTTATGGTAAACACAGAGCCACAGGTATGCCTTCCCCGTTGGCACGCATTGGGTTGGAAATTCCATGTGAGGTTTACTTAGAATGAAAGATACTTGAATTATCGAGCGCCTTTGAGCGCCCAGCTTTTCTGTTACAGTGTTAACAGGTGGCCGTTGTGAAATGAGAGTGATGCCTGAACATCTCAATAATGCTTGAGCCTTTTATGTAACTTTTTATTAAGTCTTTGTGTATCATGACCCATTAATAAAGAAATAGAGAAACACCACTCTTATGACCTCTTACTCAAATATTCTTAAAGTTTGGCTGAGAATGTTGCAGTTGTTGTCAGTGTGTGGCCCAGAACATCCCCTCTTCCCGTGAGGGCAGAGGATGAAGGCGGATTGGTGCAGTGTTCAGAAGCACAGCACCTTCATTCCGGGCAGATCTGGGGGCTGGCTGTGCCACTGACCTTTGTGTGCCTTAGAACAAATGACCTGCTCTAGTCTTCAGCTTCCCTGTCTGAAAGGAACAGTGGTACCCATGTCCTAGGTGGTTTGCAGACTAACACTAAATGTAGGAGCACATGGCAAGGAGCCCAGAAGTGGTACTCTTTGGACAGGTTCCCGTTGGGTTATCTTTCTGCCGTTGCTCGTCATGGAAACCCATCAACAGCATTGTGATTTCATTTCTTTGTTCATTGTCCCGGGAGGAACTTGCCAAATTGAGAAACTTAGGGAATAGAACTCAAGTCCCTCTCTTGGCACTCCTTTGGATGACTGTAGCTGAAATACAAACCTGGAAGCTGGGTATGCTTCTCAGGCTGCCTGGCCTGGGAGTGGAGAAGGCTCGAGTGCAGACTGGGGGGGGAGGGATCCATGGAGTGGGCAGTCCAGGCCCAGCTTCCTGCTGGGTCACTCATTCCACAAATACAGATTGGGCTCAATATTAATCAATGGCAGACTGGGCTGGGTGCTAAGTGCATGGTATCCAATAGGGCAAAGAGTCTTCTGCTGCTCTGTTCTTCCTCCTATAGTCACCAATTTGTTTCCTGTGGCTGCTGTAACAACTTGCAAACTGAACTGCTTAACACAGAAATTATTCTGTCATGGTTCTAGACGCCAAAAGTCCTAACTCAATAGCCCAGGGCTCTGGTCAAAATATCAGTGGAGCCACACCCCACTAGGGATGCTCCACTGGGGAATCTGCTCCTTGCCTTTCCCAGCATTGTACCCCATCACCCCAGCCACAAGGTCGGCAGCTTCAGCTCTTCTCCATCGTCACCGTGCCCTGTCTGTGAGGACCAGATCTCCCGCGCTCTCAGCTGATGCCCTCTTCACTGAGAAGCAGAATCTCCACAGACCCATTCCACTGCCTGCCCCTATCTACCGGCTGCACCATGTGCCCTGCCTTCTTGGTTACTACAGATGTCCTATCCATGCCCCTGGCTAATGCCATCCCCCTCTACAGGAATTTCTCCCTCTACTGGATCTTTCTCACCTTAAAAGTAAACCCCTCCTTTGACCCACTTCCCTTGTCAGATAGCACTTGCTTCTCTGCTGTCCTGTGTGGGAAACATTGTAAAAGAATAATCAGCCAGGCTTGGTGGTGCACCCGTATAATCCCAGCACTCAGGAGGCTGAGGCAGGAGGATCACTGGGAGTTTAAGGTCAATATGGCTACAAAGTTTTTAAGGCCAGCCTGAGCAGTAAAATGAAACCCTGTCTTGAATAGACCCCCTCCCCCCAAAATTAATAGCGTTCTTTCATTTTTTATCTTTAAACTGCTTCATGTGGTTTCATTTGCCACCCCACAAGCACCCTCATCCTCAGGGTCATCGGTGGCTTCTCTTGCTGAGGTCGGTGGCTCCTGGCCTCTATATACTGCCCCCGTGTGATATTGATATAGTCGATCTCCCACTTGCAAACTTCTTCCACTGCCTTCTGGGATTCTCCCATCTCTTGGTGTTCATCCTTCATTGATCTCTGTTTTCCCCCAGTGCTGGGGCCTTCACATTGAGGCACATCTCCAGCACTCCCTCCCCTACTTTGGGGGAACAAATTTGTCATCCTCCTGTCTCAGTCTAGTCACCAATTTGTTTCTTACGACTGTTATAACAAATCACAAACTTAGTGGCTTAACACAGAAGTTTATTCTCTCATGATTCTACAGGCCGGAAGTCCCCACTCAGTATCCCTGGGCTATAATCGCGGTCACATGGAGACCACTAATTCCATCACTTTTGGAGATTAAAGATTTCCTTTTCTGGAGTATGCCCAGGTTGCTAGGTCTATAAAAGCACTACTTTAAAGTCCACCTCCATCTTTGCACACTTTTGAAGGGGCCATGAATAAAAGTTCCAGGTGCCACAAATGTCAGCATTGACAGTGCTCAGAGCTTATGGGTCATAATGGCAGCCCCAAGGCGCTGAGGAAGAATCCGCACTCTCACAAGACGCCAACTGGTCATTGCATACAGCAGTATACGCAGCCCTGCCCCCGAATGTCAAGACTGACATGGGGATAAGATCCAGCCCCAACTTCACTGTGCAGACAACTATGTTAAATATGAAGAATGAGAGAAATTAAACAGACTGAGCTAGGGAAGTCTTCAAAAATCTCCATGTTCTTCAAAAAGTGCTCTGTGCAAACTTGGGTCCTCTTGTTCCCCAGGATTCTCACTTTCCATGACTGCTAGGCTCCAGCGTGTTGCTCAACAGCTAATGGTGATAGCTGCTGGCTCTCTGGCAAAGTTGCCCTGGTCCTTCCTCTTTCCTTCTTGCGTCTGATTAGTGAGGGACCCTCAAGGTCTGGAAGCAGGGGCCCTCGGAACCTTGTAAGCTACACAGAATGAAGGTGTATTTCCATTCTGCCAGACTTTCAGTGGGTGGTTGTCCAGTATCAGCCTCTGTAATCTTTTCTGATGCCAGGCCCTTCGGGTAGTTTCACAGCCACAGCGAATGAGAAGAGGAAATGAAAGGAGCAAAGAGCCATCTACTGTGCCACTTCTAGAAGCGCTGACAAAATCGTTCATTTGGTGGCCGGGTCCCTGAACTCCCTCCCACGACATCCTGAGGGAGGGGAGGGGCAGGTTTCTCTGCTCCCAGTTCCCCCCACATGACTGAGTGTGCAGCCTACACATGACTCAACTGCGACCTCCTGCCTCCCTGGCCCCCAACTCGCTGCCCAGACTTGGGAAAGAGGAGGAAATTGAGGATATCGTAACAGCCCCAGGGTGATCTGGCAGCCCATCAGGGTGGGAGCCCAGCTGGGAAACAAGGGCAAAGGAGAGCCGTGAGGATTGCAGGAAAAGCACTTGAAGTCAAATGCTATGCATCTGCACATGAGGTCGGATGTGTAACCATCTAGGCCAGTGTTTGCAGCCCCGGGGTATGTGTTACAATCACACAGAGAGTCTGAAAAATTATCTCATGGCCCAGACCAACCCCCAGAGAAATGTGTGTGATTGCTCTGGCTTGGGGCCCAGGCATCGAGACTCTACAGCTCCCCAGATGATTCTCCCATTGAGTCAAATTGAGACCAACTGGGGTGTGTTTTATTCTGGTCCCTTGAATGCTATGGCTTTCCAGTGAGCTCCGGTTATTCAGAAAATTAGCTGTCTGTTATTTCCAGTGTCCCAGCCCTTTGTGTGTACATAAATGCTGGACCATAGATAATGCTTCCCATTAAAGCAGGTTCTGCCTAGAGCCTGGCTTATATTTTTGATTTATCTAATCACAAACTACAGTGACTTCTCATTTACCCTTTCGTTTTTATATACCCTAAGGTCCAGGTAAGGGCTTGGTGGAACAAAGTTAATGCTTAATGTTTATTAAATGAATTAAGTTCTTACTTGATCTCCATGCCTTGAAACTGAGGCTAGATTGACTCAAAAACTCGGCTTCTCCACCCCTCATCCCATAGCTTGTGGCAGTCCCGAGGCTATTTTAACTTCAAACAACTCCCCAGGTCAAGATTGCCTGTCCTCTGCCTCTTCTCTGCTGTGTGGTTTTCCTTCTCAAGTTCAGCTCCTGCCTCAGTTTCCATGAAGAAAACTGATCTCAGTAACTTTGCTGAGATTTTCTGAGGACTTGAGGGTCTCAAGGGCAGTCTCTCTGCTGTCAGGGCCTCTCAATGGACCTTTGCCCTGTGCCACACCAGACCCTCTGCCAACCCTGCTCCTGCGGTAGCCCCCACATAAGCAGAACATCGGTTCCTCAGATTCTGTCAACCCCATTTCTTTCTTTAGACACATAATCTAATAATCTTTTTAAAAAATTATTTTTTATGTTAAAGATAATAAATCCCAAAAAGCAAAACAGAATAAATCCAATCAAAACAAAGCACTGAAATGGGTACAGAACCTCAAAGCAGGACAACAGGAAAACAATGGCTACCATAGTATATCTTGTCATCTTCACAATAGTTGTCCATTCCACCAGACATAACAAGATCAAACCAAAAAAAAGCAATCAAAACAGAATACTGAACAGAGCGAAACAATCAGAACAAAGCATAACAGAACAATATTGGATTTCAAAAACAAGACAGAAGGGAATACCCCCTAATGGCTATACTGCACACGGTTATCCTCCATGTAGATGCTCAGACCATGCCCCAGGCTTGAAAAGTCAAGCAAACAATACAAGCACTCAGCTGCCCCTGTATCTCAGTTGACACCAACTCAGACTGCCCTCTGAACTGGCCAGCCATCCCTGGTGGGGTGGGAGGGGTGTGTGGGAGGTGCTATCTGACTTTTCTCTTCCTGGGCCCAGTTTCCTGGGCTTGCACAGTTTACCAGAAAGCCTGGCTAGTTGGCTTGTTGGTCAGATCTTCCCAGTCCCAGCATGGCTGATTCTTTGGAGGTGTAATAATCTTTTCCTAGGGTGAAATATGTGTGGTTCCAGCTGTTAACTATGTAACAAAAGCCTCCAGTTTGCTCAGGAAGAGGTGTTTTCTGTGCTGCCGGACATTTCCAATTCCATGTCCAAATCTGGGTCACTCAGGACTGTCACTCACCTTACTCGATAAAGAGTAAAATGTTCATCCCCTTCTATGATAATAGCACCAATAACTAAATTAGTTTAAGGTTCTCAGTAGTTAACAACCATCCTAATCCCTTAGGAGGCTGGTTCACTTTGTAGGTGGCTAACTACAATCCTTTGTCACAGCCCCAGGATCCAACCACCTTAATTTGGGATGATGCAGTGTAATTGGCCCAGCAACCAAGTTGTCTGGGAAGTGATGCTAGTATTGTTAATGTCACAAAGGTAATCTAAGTATTGCGTTG